GGCAGCAGGGAGGCGGCGTTACCTCAGGGGCGGCGGCGGCAGCAAGGAGGCGGCGTTACCTCCGGGGCGGCGGAGGAGAGATGGCGGCCGGCGGCGCAGCCTGCGCAGAAGCGCCTGGATGCTGTGGCAGCTGCCTCCGCCGCGGCGGAGAGAGCAGTGCCGGTGTGCCCGGGGAAGAGTAGTGCGTGTGAGCCAGGGGCCTCTGTGGGAGGGAACAACCCCAACCCAGCCCCCGGGCCGGCGGGAAAACCAAGTGCAGCTTGTGAAGGAAGGCCAGGAGGCCCCGGCTGCCGGCGCTGTGCCGGGTGCGTCATTTTATGGAGGGGCTTTTAGGCTTAAAGTAAGAAGTTAATAGTGACAGAATTAGGTTAGTAGCCGAACATACTGCATGCAAAACGGTGAAGGTGCGCTCGTTTGAGCTTCCTTTAGTTTTACAGCTGTATGGTAGGGACATTCCATCACTTCTGCCATCCGGTCTGGATGAAAATCGCCACAGTCACATGTAAGAGGCATTTGTTTATTTACAGCCTAAAAAGGAAAGAGACCCCTCTGATGTGACGACACACGCCCAGTCCTGCAGGCTCCCTCACCTCTGCTGTACCCTGAGGGGTTGTGTCTTAAGCAGCTTGAAGTGGCCCATACAGAAAGTCTTAACAGGGCACAACAGGCCTGAAGCGCCGTGTTCTGAGCCTTACCGTCCCAATTTATCCACAAAGCCACCTTCCTCAAAAGTGCCTTTTAACGTTAGGCAATTTGAATAGCTTCACATCGAAAAATGTAGCCTTCAGCCTGCTAAAATTTGCTTTTTAGATTACTTTCATTAAGGATTTTTAAAACAAACACTGAATCTAAAATGACTTATGTCTGTATATTGGATTGTAGTTTTAGCTTCCGAGAAGCAGAATTCCAATAAAAATAAATAACCACAAAATTTATGTAATGATTATACAAGAGCTTGGAGGAACAGCAGAATTAAACTCTAGTTTTAAAAGTTGCTGATATTTAATTTGCTGAATTCAAAGATTAGGCATCAAACTCAGTGGAATTTCACTACTTATCTCTCATATAAATGTAAATCTATGCAGTTTATAAAAAAACCTGAGGTTTTGTGCATTTAGTTTACCTTTGAACAGTGAAGGTAAATGAAAGTAAACTGCTTCTCATGTTGTAGACACTAAGCTCTATGGTAAGGTAAGAAAAGTGCATTGATATTAGATAAGTAATGGTGTAGGAAAAGTGGGCTTCAGGGGTGGGCAAGTAGGGTTTATTTTGTCACTGGATTGTCATGTAGCCTCACATAAGACGCTTGGTAGTGCTGCATCAATTTTCACATCAGAAACTGCTTTAAGAATTCTACGTTTAAAAGCAAATCACTGTGCTTTGTGCAAAGAAATACTAGCATGACTTACAAATCCTTTCTTTTTTCTTGGAAGTAATAGATGAGTCTCTGTAATTGCTGCAGTGGTGTTATTGACAGTGAAATTTCTACGTGTTGTAGAAATATTGACCCTTGTCTGGTTGGGTTTGGTTTTTTTTTTTCCCCTTCAGTTTTTCATGCTTTCTTCAGGCAGAGGACAGAGTAAGAATCCCATTGCATATAATTTGGAGAGACTAACAGTATTTCTGCAGGTGCCTTTTGTGGACGCATCAGAGATGTGGTGACAGGCTGCAGTGTAAGCAGATTTTTTTTCCCCTGACAGAGAATACATCTGGCTATGAAGCCTAATGCTGCACAGCTGCAGAGAAATTAATTAGAGAGTGTGGAACACAGAGAAGAGAAAATGAGCTCAGGCTCTGAGCTCAAGCAAAAACACATTTCAGTTTTATTTATTTATGTTTTGAGTATGGCATCCTGAATCATCATCGTGACTGATGTCATGCTTTAAAATAAGGGAGTACATAGGCAAAAAGGGAAAGGGATGAAACAAAATGTAGTGGAATTCAGCTGCTCAGCCTGGTGGAGAAAGGCCACGGAAACGCAAGGCATTACCTAGCTACCCTGTTGCACTGAAAGCGTGCATGTGTTCAGGCCAATGCAAGTTTGCACCACTGCGAAAAACATCTTGAAGAAAGATAATTTCACAGTAATAAAAATAATGTTTTCCAGCCAGATCAGACTGCTGCAAAAATTAATACACAGGGTGAAAGAGAGCAAATGGGAAAGGTTGGTTGAGGTTGCAAGAAGCAGGAACGCTTGGTGGTGGTGCAGAAATCAGTGCTGAGGTTACACTAATGCACATATAAGCAACATAAAGCCAGATTCAGCTCTAGAAAAAACAAAGCTTGCACTACCCTATCCCCAGCTATTCATTCCTACAACAGGGGAAAGGTGGGACTTTCCACAGTATCTCTGGTTGATGGTTTAAGGTTGTAGTTTCACATCCATGTTAAAACCAGTGAAGTATACTTGCACTCTCACTGTCATGCTTATGGAGTTTCTTGTTACCAGTTTTAACTTGTTCTTAGGAACACTGGCTTTAGGAAGTGCTAGGGTCCATGGAAATTTGAGCTTGACCTGTGAATAAAAATTAATTTCATACAACTTCTAGTATTGATTCTAGCAGCATCCCACCAGTTGTTTGTATCTGAGCTATCCCAGGCTGCTGTCATTATCATGTTAACACTTTGCAGATCACTCAGTGGACGGACATGGCAGTGTAGGGATCCATTAATAACAGTGATAGAAAGCAGCCTACAATTCTAGCGCCACTCCGTGAAAGTTAATTTTCAAACGGAAGTTAAGGATCCAGAATTTTGGAGCACTGAAGTATTTTATCCTGAGGACTCCCATGACTTTTTTTTTTTCCATGATCCTTTTACACATGGAAAGGGTGATTTGATCTCTTAAAGAAAAGTATCTCTTCAAGCCCACATGACAGTGGTAAAATTACAACAAAAGATTTATGGGACGCAGAATATACATGGCTAAAGAGCTTTCAGACATTAGCTGCTTTGGAGCTCAGGGAGCACTGGGCTTCCTCTATCTGGACAGATGTCCCTAAGTTTTACACAACAGCAGTTCAGCTTTGTACGGGTTGGATAGAAAGACTGTGGATTTAGGCAGGAAAAATAATTAACTCTTGCTTGCTGTTGAAATCACACTGTCAGTTCCTCTTAAGCTGCCACAAATTTAAAAAACGGAAAACCAAATCTGGTGTCTTTAAAGATGCTTAGGATTGATTAGAAATACTTACAATAAAAAATTCCAAAGATGATACTGTTTTATTTATGATGGAGCTGTGGTCATGTAAGCTCCGAGTTTTTTGTTGATTTCATAGTTGTTTTCCAAACACAGCAAGACAGGTTCTGCTCTAATAAGCATCAGAGTAGTTTTGATTTGGCAAAATGGTAGGAGCATGGAGTCCACACCATATTGCTGCAGCATCAATTAGAAATAAATTACAAAACTCAAGGAGAATCCACCACTGAGGTATACCCAGCTCTGTTGTTTTATTCTAATGCCACTGAAGGAGGATACTGTCTCAATAAGACTATAAATGATGTTAAAGCAAACATACAATAATCCATGTAGAGTTTAGCAGGAATGTGGAGATAGACATGTCGCTTTCAATAAATAACAGATAATGTCCTGTGATTTGTTATATCTCTCAGATGTGCTTTGTAAAATCAAGTTTCTCATAGCAGTAAGAGCTTAGCTAAGGCTAGTTTCTGTGATCCAAGTTACTATGCTAGATGTATTTGTCTGACGTCTTTCTAAGACTCAATGGCATTGTTCAGGTGCAGTTACACAGCTGACCTAAGTCAAATCTAAATTCACACAGCTGTTGAAAACAGCTGGTCTGGTCTGGTCTCTCCTCTCTTCCCAGGCCCAGGTGAGTGCTCCCACTTTCCTTTTTCTGCTTGTATTAACGTTTGTGTGATGATACAAACTAGCTGTACAACAGATCAGGCTCACCTGTCTGAAAACCAATTTCTTTTTCATTTGTGTAGGTAGGCAGGCAAACCTAACTTTGGGAATAATGTTGTACAGAAGCAAGCATATATCATGTCATATTAAGCTTTATAACAATAAACCAAAATTGGTCATAACCCAATACCATATTTTAAAATAGGAGTTGTATATGTTGGGAAATTTTCAAGTCTGAAAGATGCTGGAAAAAAAACTTCAATGAAAGCTTTCTTCAATACACATTACAAATGAAAAAGGCAGGAGAAACTGTAGCAGCACTTCATGTTAGGACCATTACATAAACCACTTCTTCCTCAGTTTCACTTCTTCTGTTGAGTTTTACTTCTCTTCTTGGGGAAGACTCTGAGAAGTATTGATGAAAATCTGTGTCAACATGCTGTTTTTAAAAGCTGTAGATAGCCCCTGCAGTTTGCCATGGCCGTGCTTGTCACTGGCAATCAAGACATCTTAAAGGAGTTTCCAGCAGAGGAAATCTTGTCCTTTCCTCCAAGGCTTATGAATATGACCCAGTACTACCCTATTAGGACAGGCAGGTTTGGGAAATGTTTTAAAATAATCTGTTTGATTGCATTAACCTTTATCTACTAACGGGCAGAAGACTATAAAGTCCTGTTATGCACCTTCCAGCTGCCATGAAAGGCACTCTTGAATTTTGGATAGCAAAACAGACCAGGTACGTGCCATCACCGAGCAGACCGTGCTAAGGAATTACATTCCCCTCACAGTCAGGTATGGCTGAACAGGGTTAGTCAGGAAGTGTCATATTTGATGGACACTTCTGTATCCTACTGTTTGTTTACATACTAGTACTTTTATTCATTGGATAAGGGACTTCAGGAAAGCCAGCAAAGACAATTTATATTAATTTTTCCTGTTTTTTTTTTCAGGTCCAAAGATTTTCATACTAAAACTGAAAATGAAGACTTTAGTTTGTTCAAGTTTTAAATCTAAAACATCACATATTTTGTAGTACCTTGCCCAGCTGTTTTCATGGGTACACAGCCTT